TGGAGCAAAAAAACTCTTTCCTGGAAGTGCTGACGTTTGACAGAAGTTCAGAGCTGCGTGAGGTTGTCTAATCTGTGAAGCGAAGTACTTTCAAAGTCAGTTTTGGCCCTACGTGCGGCCACAGCAGTTGTAGCCTGTCATGGTAGGACAGGTCTTCTCAGTGGGGTTTGTGTGGCCTCTAGCACTGCAGGACCCTGGTGAGACCAGGCTGCAGGCTTCTGCTGGAACACTGGCGATGAGTTATTGCCTAGGTTGCCTCTGCTTTGAAATGGTCGCTCGGGCTGGGCAGAGGATGGGTTGCCAGAGACACCCCTGCTCCCACGCGCAGGTGCTTTCGGAGCTTGCTGGACGTGCTCTCTGTTCACTTCTGGGTGTTTAAATTCCCCTTTTCCGCTCTCTCCCGCGTGGCCAGCCGCGGCGCTGGGAGGTTGAGTCCGGCTTGCGCCTGTTTTGGATCCTGAGCTCATAGCCCTGACGCTGGAGAGCTGCCTTGGCTCGTCCGAGAGGTCCCATGTGTGTGAAGCCATGTGAATTGTGGCTGTGGGCACAGACAAGGCCAAAGGCTTTTTTGGCTTTCTCCCTTTTTCTTGTCATTCCCTCCTCCCTGCCAACCCTGCACCCAGGGTATTTTTCAGCTGCAGTTTGGATGACTTGTTTATATAAACATCTCAGCTGGGGTCTGCCTTGGTCCCTGGAGATCTGGGGCCGGCCGGAGCCGGGGCTGCAGGCAGGCGATGCCCGCCGCGGCTCGTCCCCTGCCCGGACGGTGCTTGCCCATGCAGCCCTCCGTCCTCAGCCTGTCTCAGACCCCCTTCGGCAAGGGACAGCAACAGCCATCACCCCTCAGGCACTAGGAAGGACCAGACACCGTGGTGAGAGGGGACATCAGCTGTTTAAACCTCTCTTAAAAGAGGTTTGGGTTTCAGCTCTGTTTTGTTAAGTCAGCAATACTTCCAAGTGTGCCCTTGTGCCCTGCCTGAGTAGGACTTGCTTCTCTGCTCTCCTTTCAACTTCTAATGGGTTCCTAACATTTGGTGGTAGGAGCAAAGCAGATAATTGTTTTCCTCTTCTTATTAATAGAAATAAAACGTCTGCCCGAGGGGCTCACTTTCAGCTCATTTGCTGTGCATCTGATGCCGGATGTTGGCTATTTACAAAACCAAGGTGATCTCTGATGCTAAAATTGTCACAGACAGACAAGACTTGCTCTTTGGTTTTGTGTCTTAAGGAAGTTGTAGATGTTAATAGATCGTCTCTGCAGTTGGAGGGTTTTGCACGAGAAATCCGAGAGATTGTTTCCCCTAATAGCCAGGCCAAAAGGAAGATTCTGGATGTTTTTCAGAAAAAATGTGAAGGGAGCAATGGGAGAGAACTAGTCCCTTCCCTTAGTGGCTTTGCTGCGTTTTACAGTTCTCTAGTGATACCTGGATCCCGCCCTGGATCTGGGGGAAGGGCATGGCGCAAATGCTTGAAATTCAAATTTCTGGCAATTCTGCTCTCACCTCTCTGTCAGGTGGCACTCTGCCATCCTCACGCCCCGTCCGACAGCCCCGTCTGTCACCAGGCAGCAGTGCGGGGTGCAGCGCGGTAAGTCGGTGGCAGGCTCCTTTCCGAGGTCTCTCCTGGTGCTATATTTCCACCAGCCTGCAGTCCGCTTGGCCTGAAGAATTTGCATTTTTCTCCATTTTAGGGACAGCGAAAAGGTAGATGGAAGGTGACGCCTCCACTTTGCAAACGGTTGGGGCTGTGTTTTGGGGGTGCAGTTTGCAGCCTAGGTGGCTAACATGCTCGGCTGCAACCGTTTCCCTAGCCAGCGGGCACCTTTCGGAGCGAAGCGACGCCCCCCCGCAGCTGGGCTGACCGCGGGGGCCGCGGGAACGGTAACCCTGTAGCCCTGTATTTTCTGCAGCAATGTGCCCAGCTGAGGAGGGAGGATTTTGTTTGCATCGAGCTGAAACAGTGGAGGGGGAAAAAAAAAAAAAAAAGCAGTTCAGCCTAAGTCCAAGCGGGTATGTAGGTCAAGGAATTGCAAGGGAATAGGAGCCGGGCTGTGGCTGCTGAGTGACGGCACCATTTGTATCTATTTCTGCAGGATGGGCCGCTTGCTGACACTGTCAGAAGCGCAGCGGTGCCCTGTGCTGATTCACTCTGGCACAGCGCGTCCGCGGGCGAGCAGCCGGGGCGCAGGGCAGAGGTGCAGCGTCGCTTGCTGGTGTTTTGCAAAGGCTCTGCGGGGACGAGCTCCCCGGAGCTGGGTGCCGGCGGCGGGACCCCCCGCGCCTCGGGCGGTGGCTGGGGCAGCGCAGGCAGCTGAAGCTGTTTCACAAATAAGTTGCTTCACGGAGGGAACAGAAAGTGCGGGGGGAAGTGACAGAAGAAGCACCAAACTCAGATTTTTTTTTTCCCTTCCTTTTAATGGCAAATTAACCCCCAGTCTTAACGCTGTCATGCCTTTGGATCTTGAAAAGTGGACAAATGAAGCTTTCTACTTTCTGTGCACTCTCTGACAAAAATTAAAACTAGCAGTGCTGCAGGTCCACTTTATTCCTCTTCTAAATGAAAGGATTATTACAACTGCTCTTCAGGTTGTTCTCCACGCTGTGAACACCTCTGCAGGCACATGCCTGCATCCCTCAAGTTGCCCTGACATCACCTTTGACCAAGAAAAGAAAGACTTGTAAGTGCAAAATAACACAGAACAGTTTGTGTCATTAAAACACAAAATGTTTGTGTTACTGAGCTATGGACAGATTTGGTAGGGAACGGTCTGTAGCGGCTGTACTGAATCCCACGGGAGACGCGGGGCTCCTTCGGGGTGCCCAGCCGGCCTGCTTCCCGAGCCCTGGCCTGCGTTCCTCAGCAAGGGAATAAGCTACTGAGTTCAGCAGGAGGAGTTTGGGCCAGCGTCTTCTCCTGGCAGTGCTGATGTGTCATCTCTCTGAAATGAACACGCAAATCTGTGCTCCTGGGTAGGAGATGGCTTCCTAGAGCTTCACGTCTTGCCTAGCTCTTGTCCCGGGTAAGATAGGACTAACGGGCAACAGAGCAGATGAGCTCTGACAATCAGCTCCTGAAGTGCTTTGCTGAATCAGGACCAGCGGGGTCACCTTGACGCGGGTGAAGAGCTGGGCTAGGGGATGATTTACGAAACCGAACGCGAGCAGTGCGCTGGCGTGACCTGCATTGCTGCTGGGCCGCAGCGAGACGGCCCCGCGATGCCCAGCCAGCCTGAGCGGCAATCCTGCGCAGCTGCAAGCTGGGCTGGCGGCGTTCGCTCTCTAACAGGAAACAGCACCGAATGGCTGGTGCAGAGCTCTGCAGCCTGGTTTTTAAATTCTTCCCTCCCTTTCTCCCCCCGCCCAGCCCCAATCAGTAAAAAAAAAAAATAGTCAGCAGGTCTTAAAATGCACAGAGAACTGGTCCGCTCAAATAGCGTTAGGGTCCCCCGTAACAGCCTGCCGTCCTGTCCCTAGTTCTCTCCCCTGTCTGCTTTTTGTGTCAGACGCGCTCTGGGCAGACGAACCTGCTGTCCTCGTCCTCCCAAGCCCATCGCTAGTCTGCTCGACCTGTTTCTTGAAGAGCGTTCTTGCATCCCTCTGCAACCTCAAAGCTCTCCACCTCATTTCAGGCGTTATCTGTAAACCTTTCCTGCCTGCTTTCCTTCACCTCAGCCTCAGGGTTTGTTGCTGTATTTAACCAGGAGTCCTGCTGCTCTCTGTGCCACCGCCGCTGTTGCCACTAGCAAGGAGCTGGTGTCCAGACCTTTCTGCTGCTCCTCAGTGGTGCTGGGAGCTCAGGACATGGCTTAGCCAGGAGGTCCAGGGAGTTGTGAGCAAAAATGCAGGCTCTGCTGTCCATCTTTCCTGTGCACAAAGCCCTGGTGGTGGCGAAGAAGAATACCCCTCTCTAAGGAGAGAGTTTGGCCAGAAAGAAATGTCACCTCCTTTCCATGTTGGTGCATAGGGGCTGGGTGTACAGCGGTGGCACATTGTGGGAGGTGGGTGCGGAGAGCTGCCGCAACAGCTCCTTGCTTCCTAGCTCCTGCGAGGTGTCGAGCAGTGCCTCTGCCTCGCAGCCAGCTCCCAGGAGGAGCGCCTGCCTGTGATGTGCCCTCTCGTTTCTCTTCCCCACAGCCACACTCCCATCCATCCTCCTGAAACCTTGTCAGCTCTCAGAGTCGTTATCAGGGTCTGGGAACCAGGCGACTGGCCTCTAGCATTCCCACAGACGGAGCGGGCTGCACTCGCGACAGTATATATTTCCTTGTCATTGCAGTGCCTTCCTGGAGAGCAGCTGAAATCAGCACTCTAACTAATTAGAAGGGCTGGGGAAAAGCAGATGAGGGGATTTAAAAAAAAAAAAAAATCAGTGCTAGGAAATAGAATTGACAGTACCTGTTGGGGAGGGTGAAGGGGGGAAGGGATGAAGAAAAGGATAGTAAGACAAGTGCTGATGGGGTTCACTCCAGAAGCAGTTAAGGAAGAAAGGCTGTTTGATATTGAAACCTGCAGCGATAGGGATGTTCTTTCTCCTGCCACATGTCTGCGGTTGCTCAGGCTGGGAGGTTTGCTGCCCACAGCCACATTTGCACAGGGAAGGAAGGCTGCATGGGCTGACTTGCAGAGTGCAGCTGGGGAAAAGGCCACAAAAAGCGAGAAGTGACTAGAAACGAGTGAAAATTGACTCATCAGTCTTCATCGCTTCAGCAAAAGGAGAGGGAAAGGTAGTGGGACGTCTAGAAGGATGTTGTCCTCCCTCTTCTTCAAAACACCGAGGTGCTGCTAGCAACTCAGACAACTGTTTCTTAGTTGTATGAGGGTTAATTACTATTTGAGTGCTAATCTGAGGATAACAGGGGCTGAGTGCAACCAAACCATGCTCAGCTGGCTAGAATTGAACGCAGGGCTTTAAAGACAGTCAAGACCTGCATATGTTCTGCCCTGAAAACTGCCCTTTACTCTGCTTCTCTCTCTGACCTCCTTCCCTTCTTTGTCTTGTAGCCTTGCTGCTGGACATCATGATTGTGGCTGGTCTGCAGAAGCTGGCCAAGCGGAAGGGCCCGTATGATGTCAGCCCTGGCTTGTTGGACTACCTGACCATGGACACTTACGCCTTTCCAGCGGGGCACGCCAGCCGAGCTGCCATGCTCTCCAAGTTCTTCCTCAACCACCTGGTCTTGGCCATCCCCCTCCGGATCCTGCTGGTCCTTTGGGCCTTCTGCGTGGGCTTTTCCCGTGTCATGATCGGACGACACCACATCACAGATGTCCTGTCTGGCTTTGTTTTTGGCTACTTACAGTTCAGGCTGGTGGAGTTGATATGGATGTCTTCCAATACATGTCAGATGTTGATATCAATCTGGTGAACATGGGGGACTTGATGCCTTTCAAATGGAAATTAGCCGATACTTTAAGAATCTCCCTCCCAGTATTTTTTACATGTTGTCTGTTGGAAAGAATTGTAAATTCCATGAGTAGTGGCGTTTTTTAATGTTGTATCCCTGCCTGAAAAAAAAAAAAAAAACCAAACTTTACTTGCAATTGGTTGGGTTTTAGCAATCAAGGGCCACAGCTGTGTTTTGGCCATATTCTCAAGCTGTATTTGTACAGCAACCAAATTAAGCTTTACAGATGCAAGAAATGAGCTACGTGTCTGCCTTGTTTGGGTGGCTCACACCTGCACCTTGATAATGTCCTCACAGCGGGCAGCACTTGAAATCTTCCTGAGAACATGTTTGTTAACCTCTTTGAGGCTAAATGATTTTGGCCACAGTGCTTTTTCTTACTTAAGCCCAGAGTTTGCGTCCTGTGTAGAGTCAGGACACTGCCAGCATTTCACAGATAATAAATAATCATAAAATTCCTGCCCTGTTTGGTTCTTCCCCTGGACTTGGGGAGTTGGACTTGGGGAGTTTCCAGTGGAAGTAAGTGGTGGTAGTCCAAGTGCTTATGCTGTTTTAGTGCAGGCTGGATGATGGTTCTACAGGGACCAGAACTGCACTGACCCCTGAGAGAAGGACAAAGGCCGGTTGAGTATAGCTTTTAGATTCATGTTCAACTTCAAGCATGTGTGCAGTCTTATTGCTCCTTAGGGGATGGATGCGTTCACTTAAATTATTTGCTTTAGAGGGGTGGATGTAGGTACGTGCTTAGGACTTTGTTAGGTGGCATGCTGAGGTTGGCCTTCCATCAGCTGTTCAAAGTCATGCTCTGGGAAGGTGCTTTTTTTTTTTTTTGGGGGGGGGGGGGGGTCTGGTAAAAGGACAAATGCAAGTTCCCATTTTCACCGTAGCAGGGGGTCACTGAGTAAACTTTGTGCTGAATCATGGCAGTTTTGCAAAGCAGGTCTAGATAGACAACAAAGAGTCTTTTTCTACGTCTTCATGGCCATGATTTTGTAATTATGCCAAATGATGCTGTAGGTGGTAATTTCTAAGGTAAGTCTGTTCTAGCATTGAGTACTTTCTGGTACACACAGCAAGTTGTTGGTGAGCTAGAGAGGTGTCAGGGAGCCAGGACTGACTCTAGCCCTGCCCCTGCTCGCCTGTCTGTGACCTTGTTACTGAGCAAGTAACAAGGTCAGTGTCTCATCCTGTGTGAAATGAGGAAAGCACTCTTGACCTTGCTAGATTGCAAGGCTAAGTAATCGACGTTTGTAAACTGGCTTGAGATTACTGAGCGTACAGCGTGGCACACGGACCCAGTTGCTTTCATTATTGCCAGGCTGCCCCCTTGAATGCTGGCTGCTGGGGAGCCTGTTGGGGAGCTCTGTTCCTACAGGGGCTGCTGGCGAGGAGAAAGTTAGCAAGTTGCTGACGTTTGTTGTTCTTTGATAAATAATAGGACAAGAAGACAAATAGAAAATCTATCCTTGGCATGCATCTCCAGCTAGAAAGTCAGCACACAGCCCTGTGAGCTGGAGACTTCCTGCGCTCCCTGCTCTGAGACCGGAGCAGGCGAAGCGTGGTAAGGAGCGTATGCTTTAGAGATGACAGATTCCCGTGGAGCTCCCCGGGGGTGGGTCGCTCGAAGGTCCCTTCGGAAAGGGCTGTGACTGAGTGTGTTCAGGAAAGGGGGGAGGCCCTCGCTCTTGCTGGTTATCTCCGGAGGTTGGCGGATTGGTGTAACAGATGGCAGAGCGCGGGGGGTTATTGGAGCCGGCCTGCTCCCCCGCTGCTGCTTGTTTAAATGGGGAGCAGGGAATAAACTCCCCTCTGCAGTGGGGAGCTGAGATTTGCTACTGCACCTGGCCTCCGCCACGATTTTTCTTTGCCAGCCTCCTTCGCCTCTAAAGTCTTATGCAAAAAGTGAGCTATGGTTCGTTCCTTTTCTTTGAGGTATTATTACACTCGGGAGAGTTCACCCCAAGCCGAGAAAGGATGGAGGCACACTGCCGCAGCTGTGGCGGATGTGTATACGCGCATGTGCAGCTGGAGACGGTGGATGCCTGAAGAGGCAGGGAGCAGGGGAAGACTTTGCCCTGATTGCTTTGTGGGAAGCTATCACTTTGTAGGCGTTTAATCCAAAGCTCTGGGTTTTACTGAGCCTTTGCAAATGGGCTGGATTCATCTACAGCCGCGTCCGTAGGTCCAGTTCTCCTCACACTTTTCCTAGTCTGTACCCTGGTATATTGATGATGGCTTTGGAGGAGCTACTCCTGATCCGCGCTGGTGTAAACAGGAGAGGCTCACCGCAGCGTGTGGCCGAACAGCGAGGCAGGAGGGCCGGGAGAGGAAGGGCCCGGCTGTGCCTGGGGACATGCTCATTTTGGTGGAGTTCAGGCCTGTTTCCAACAGCCCAGAGCGCTGGAAGGCGTCCAGCTCAAACTGAAGGGAGCGTGTCCCTTTTGCTCTTGGCACCAGTATCATTTCAGCGGCTTTTAAAAGTCCCACCCTTGGTGAAGCGGACGCCGCATGGTGAGGAGAACGGCGGAGGGTGGGGAGCTGCCCCCAGAGCCTCGTTTCGGCCGGGCCCGGCTCTCCCAGCGAGGCGAGAGGTGCTCTGAGTTTGCCTGCTGTGAGGGCGGCTTTGGTTTGTTCTGCTCTTCCCCTCTTTGCTCTCCCGAACGGAGCAAAGACCCAGGAGCCCTCGTGGCTCCAGCACAGCGCCGTGGCTGCACTGCTCACGTAAAACCTGCCTGCGAGGGCTTGTGCGTCCCTCTCCCGGCTGCCTGCGGCTCTCCCAGCGAGGCGAGAGGTGCTCTGAGTTTGCCTGCTGTGAGGGCGGCTTTGGTTTGTTCTGCTCTTCCCCTCTTTGCTCTCCCGAACGGAGCAAAGACCCAGGAGCCCTCGTGGCTCCAGCACAGCGCCGTGGCTGCACTGCTCACGTAAAACCTGCCTGCGAGGGCTTGTGCGTCCCTCTCCCGGCTGCCTGTCATGCCCAAGTTAGCGCTAAGAAACGAGCAGCATCGCTGTGG